GCAGGGCACACTGGGGTTACTTCATCGCGCTAAATGACTCTGTCTAGAAAATGATGATTATAATATAAGCAACTATATTATTCTTATACTACAGGGTTATTGTGAGGTTTAAATGTGGTAATATATGTAAATCCTTCAGCAGATGTTGGGTTAACCCAAGGTCATCATAGTTGATTTTTTTTAAATAAACAACAGCTAAGAGTTGTTAAATCTTGAGAGCTGGGTAGTTTATTCGGCCAGGGTTTCTTTTTAGTGTGTAGGGCTGTGACATTCATTACTAACGTTGCTTAAAAACAATGTCTTGTAAATTCTGCTTACAAAGTGTATCCAAGTGTTGGGCCTTAACCACTTTAGAAGCCCTCTCCTGAGCAGACAGGGAGCTCTGGTAGCCTAATGGGTAGGGAGTTGCACTTCCCAGCCTCTGAACACCTGGTGGGGGTGGGGGTGAGCTCTCAGTTAGACTCAGAGACAAGAAGTTTGTGTTTTTAGTTCTCTGAAGCAAATAAGCAGAAGGCTTGAGAGTTGGTGTGTTGTTCTTGTGTTGCGCCGTTGAGTCAGAGCCAAACTTTTGGAGGCAGTTAATCACACAGGAGGAGACTGCCTGCCTGTCTTTCTCCCAACAAGCAGGTGGTTGATCGGAACCACATGCCTTTAGGACCCCGGAGCAGCTCCGTACCACTAGTCTTAATTCTCCCTGTTGGGTGTTGTTGAGCTGACACTGAATCCCATGGACTTCCAAAAGAACAGAGCGAGATGTCTGAGAAACTGCAGCCAAGAATGTTCCTGGGAGACAGAGCTGGTGAAGCTTTGCCTCACACTTTGGGCATGTTGTTAGGAGAGCCTCTTCCCTGGAAAGAAACACCATGCTTGGAAAGGTGGATGGTCAGCGAGAGAGGAAGCTCAGCGAGATGGATTGATTGTCTGTGGCAGTGGACTCAGACGTGCTGAGGTTGGTCAGGCTGGTGCAGGGTGGTAGGACGGGGCTCAGGTCTGTTCACAGGTTCTCTGAGTCGTACTGGACTCCACAGTGGACTCAGACGTGCTGAGGTTGGTCAGGCTGGTGCAGGGTAGGACAGGGCTCAGGTCTATTCACAGAGTCGATGACACCTCCCACCAGCACAGGGACCTCAGTACAACAGATCCTTCTGCCACATCCTTCACCATCTTCACAACCTCTGCGGTCACCCAGCTGGTGCTGCGGTCACTGTGTGTGTCCTTCTCTTTTTCACTGACCCTCTACTCTTCCAAGCATAATGTCCTTCTTTCTCCCCTGATAACGTGCCCAAAATATGTGAGATGAAGTCCCATGACCCTCGCTCCCAAGGAGCATCCTTGCTGTACTCCTTATAAGACAGATTGATCTGTTTCTTGGCTTTCCGTGCCATACTCAATATTCTTTGTCAGCACTACAATTCAGAGGCATCACTTCTTCTTTGATCTTCCTTATCCAGTGTCCAACTTTGATTGCATGTAAGGCAGTTAAAAATTCCCTGACTTAGGTCAGGTACACTTCTTAAAGTGATAACCCAGCTCTCCAGCACTTTAAAGGAATCCTTTGAGGTACAGTTGCCCATTACAGTAGCCTTATGCGTTGACAACTCTACTACAACATTATTTTCACGTATTTATTCTTTTACTTTGAAAGGCATTAATATTCACGAATCTCATTGCCTTTGAGTTGGGATGGCTTGTCCCTCCGTGGGGTCTGAAGCTGTAAATCACACAGAAGGACACTGTCCATCTCTCTCTCTGGGACCCGCTGGTGAATTCTAACAGCCAGAGAGGCACAGCCTTCGGGTTGGCCGTATACCTCCCTGGGGGCTAATGTTGGATTTATGTTTTTAATTAAAAAAATTGAGAATTCAAAACTAGTTCCATTTAGCTATGTGGGACATGATAGGATCTGTTATTTATTATGCTGAGTGATAATAATTATATAAAAAATCACGTCTGTGAGGAAGGGAGAAGATAGTTAGCCATAAAATAGAAAAGAGTAGGTTCAACTTAAAAATCTAGACCTTTGGATTCTGTACTTTGACATCAGCCCTCCCTTTTTCAGAGATACACTGGGTGGGCAGCCCTTTATGGCTGAGGTCACTGGGCTGGAAACCTTTATACTGCCTCTTCTCTGAACAGAAGAGACCCCGTTTATTTTATTTTTTAATTTTATATTAGTTTGCTTACAAAGTTTGTGTATATTGCGTTTCACACAGTCCTTCATTCACACTGTTCATCTAATCGTTCATATTCGTTATATTTTATAAAATTAATCAACCAACTAGGGAAAATAACTTGTTTAATTGAAAAAAATTTTAAATAATCTTTTTGTGTGAGGAAATGAATCATAATAATGAGGAACAGCTGGCATGTAAAGAACTTTTTCTTTCTTTTTTTCTTTTTTAAAGAGAGTATAACCTTTACATATAAGGACCTTCCCTTCTTGGAGCCTCACTTCCTCAGAGACAGAGCATGTGGGCCTGCTCTTTTTGTAGGAGAGAACAAAGTAAAAAAAAACCAAGATAGCACTAAGAAAGGATAAACTTTAAATGGCCAAATGCTACCCAAGTTGCCTTCCTTTCCACTTAACAGATAACTCTGGTCCTTAGTTACAGAGGGGCGGAAGAGGACAGGAGTCTGGTGGCCAGATCCCTGCAGGTCTAACTTGAAGGTGTCCAGGGGACACCGTGCCTGGCCGCCTCCCCTCCTGAGACTGGCTCTTGGCACATACCCGAACCAAATCCATCCACTGGCGGTCAGAGTGTGAATGCTCTGTGCCCAGAACCAAGCCAGAGGCCACCAGGATGAGAACAGAAATGTAAACCAACCTCCCTTCCTGCTCTCAAAGCCCCCCGTCTGGTTGGAAGTGATAGGAGCACCACGTGAAACAGCAGAAACTCAAGACAGGACACAGTAGGGTTCTCCGTCAAAGGGAAGGGGACCTGTGAGAAGGGCAGCAGTTGGGGTGTCCCCCAGGAGGCAGGGTGTACCTGCTGAGGGGATGTGTGGGTGGGGAGAGGGCCCAGGTTGGCAGAAGGGGGTGAGACTGGCAGAGTCAGGAGCTGTGTGCGTCCCTCTGTGGGACAGAGCTCCTGAAGGATGAGCTGGGGTCAGCCCTGCACAGCCTCCGATGGAGCGGGGAGGACTCACAGGTCGGTCAGGGGCAGGGAGCGTGAGCTTGCTCTGGGCAGTGGACACCCCTAAAGATCATGTGTACGGAAGCTCTGGAGGTTTTAGGGGTGAACAGCTGTGCTGTCAACACACCAGCAATGACCGAAACATCTCTTTCTGTCTATGTATACACAGTAATAGGTAAACCCAGAGATTAGCCAGCACCTGGGTTACAGAGTGCTCTTGATCTTTTTCTTACACAAAGGAGCTCTGGTGAATGAACACTTATATGGAGGAGTGAAAAAGATAGCTTTTTGCTTCCCCCCTTCTTTAAGAACAAAGGTACAGTCCCTCAAATTAATAAGCTGAAATATTCTTCTGGTATATTTCATGCACAGTTTGAGGGGAGAGCTTCTTTGCTTTGTCAAATGGATCAGGTCAGTTCTTGACCTTAGTATTATTAAGTGCATGGAGACCACCTCCTTTACAGATTTAATCACTGTGGAAGAAGAAAAAGGAAAAAAAAAGTGGGGAGAGGGTAAAGGGTTGTGGGAAGAGAGGGCAGCCCAGGCTGTTGAAATTTTAGAAACTGGCAAATAACCTTTTTTGTAAAATCTTTTAAGTTCAAAATGTAGAGAGGGCTCTTTCGACTATGCTTTTTGAATCCAAAGCTGCTGCCAATTAAATGCTAATAAAGGATTTCTACAGTTTAAAAAAAATGAACAAAGGTACATGTGTAAACCAGTATAATTTTTTAAAAATAAAACAAAAGAACAGGGTACATAGATCAAAACATGCCATTGTTGGGCTTTAAAAATGTCACAAATGAACCAAAAACTAGGCAGTGAAGCTAAAAAGTATGTGTCCAAAATAGAGATAGAGAAAGGCTATATCATATATCATCTTTTTTATGAAAGAAGTTAGTGGGATAATGTCTCATAATAACCATATGCTCAGTAGTTAGTATTTTCTGTTATAAGTGATTTTTAAATAAAATTTTATTGCATGTAGATAAGATGGAGCTCTTGGTGGCCTAGTTCCAAGAAGCTGTGCAGAAATCCCAAAAGCACCTGATTCAAGGCCACCAACCTGCTCTGTGGGAGAAGGTTGGGCGATCTCTTCCCATGCGATTAATTGCTTCTGAAAACCCGCCGGAGGGTCGGCTATGGGTCGGTTCCGACTCTGTGGATTAGGGAACTCTTCATGGCCATCAAGCCGGAACCAACTCATTGCTGACCCTCCAGTGGGCTTTCAGAGGCTGTAAATCACGTCGGAGGAGACTGCCCACTTCCCTCAGAGCCACGAGGATTTCAGCCACCTCCCTTTGGGTTGGCAGCACAGCGCCTTACCCACAAGGCCACCTCCTCTACATAGATAATACTTTGTTTTGTTTATTTTATGCCTCTTTTGAATCTTGAAGTAATTGAGTGGAAAGAATTGAGTGAAATAATTGAGTTGGTAGTTCACATAAAAATTTTGAGCTCACCATAGGAGACCATCCAAACCAGCAGGTGGTTTGACACTTAAAGCAACGAGAAAATGCTCACAGGTGTCCACCAAAGCTCTTCAGAAAGAGAAGTGACTATTCCCGCAGAACGCCGGAATATTTTAGTCAGTGTAGATTCTTTTTCCCACCCAGCTTCCCATTCATGTCACTGTTTGTCGGTTGCTGGCTTTCACTTTAAACAAGGCTCTCAAAAGTGCCCCATTCCCACCCTGGAAAGAATAAGGGTTTCCGTTTTGAGCCTGTTAGTGGCGTCGTTGGCGTCAGTGAGCACCCAGCTCGTGGGTGGTTTTGTGTGAGGGGGAGGGCGCTGCATTGGAGGGCAGTGGGGGTGCCGGGTCTTCCTCGCCCCGTGAGCTGAGCTCTTCCCCGTCTGCTCTCTCCCTAGCCCAAGCCCACCAAGGGCCGGATGCGCATCCACTGTCTGGAGAATGTGGACAAGGCCCTGCAGTTCCTGAAGGAGCAGAGAGTGCACCTGGAGAACATGGGGTCCCACGACATCGTGGACGGGAACCACCGGCTGACCCTCGGCCTCATCTGGACCATCATCCTGCGCTTCCAGGTGAGGACCGAGGCCGGGTGCTGAGCTTGCGTCATCCGGTGTGTGCCGAGTGTCCCCTCCCTCCCTCCTGAGTGAACTCAGACCCGTGGACGTGGGGGGCTCCAGGGTCCCCAACAGCTTGGTGTGCCCTGGTAGTCTTGTGGATTCAGCTAGGACTCAGTGGTACAGAGGTGTCCAGGCTGCATCCCACCACTGGCTCCTGGACAGCTGGTCCCTGGGACTAGCCTTCAGGAGCCGCGTGTGAGGATGTGGCTGATGCTGGGGTGCCGGCACCAGTTGTGGACCTCACCACACCAGAACCGACTTTGAGTGGAGGCCCTCGGAGCTGTGGCCCCGTGTGGCTTCATTTCCCTTCTCATGCTTCTTTTTAAGTAGGGAAGCAAAGTGCAGGAGGCTATGCTCAAGTTGAAGGTGACTTTATGGGTTGGTTGTTCTTAGGGGAAAGGTTCTACTTTTATGGGACTTCTTAAAGCCAGAAGGTGTTCTCAAGGTCCTGGCGTTCGAGCCCTTGATTTTACAGAGAAAGTGAGGGTCAGAAGTCAGGCTTTTCTCTTCATTCTGCAGCCAGTTAGAGCTGGAGCAAGTAGGAGAAGTTAGGCACCTCCTGGATTCTGTGGCCAGTTAGAGCTGAGGCTAGTACCTCAGTCCTGTAGGAGAAGTTAGGCAGAGCTCCAAGTTCTGCAGCCAGTTAGAGCAGGGGAGAGTACCTCTGACCTTGTGGGGGAAGTTAGGCACCTGCCTGGGTCCTGCAGCCAGTTAGAGCTGGGGTGAATGCCTCTGACCAATGGGAACCAGTCCTCAGGGATGTGATGAAAATCCACCTGGATTTTCAGGTTCTTTCTCCATTTACCTGTTTCATGCTCTTCAGTTAAAATTTGAACTGCAGGACAAACTTCTTACCATGGTGTCAGGTTACTGTGCAAACAGGTGTCCTAACAGCCCTGTCTCCTGGGTGACGCCTCCTCTGGGCCCCTCCTTCCTGTCCTGCCTTTTGGCTAAAGGTCTGATCCATTTTTCTAGGTAAATAACAGACTCACCTTCCAAAAAAGGAGAAAGCAGATTCCCAATATAACTCAGTTTCTTTATTATAACTCTGAAACCTGCCTAAACTCATCCACTTACCTTCTCACTGCTTCTGGGATACTGTTTGTGTTTATGCTTCGTGGAGTTTGTAGGGGGCAGAGAGAAGCAGTGGGGTGAGCCAACACCAAACTAGACAAAGAAACAGCCCCCCTGAAGGTGAGGTTTCAAGCCTGTCTGGTCATGACTCTCTGAGAAAGCTTTTTAATAATTCAGGAGCCCAGATCCCAGCCCAGCCTAACCCAGTGGGTCTAAGGAGGGCGTCACTGTTAATAATGATGTCATTAATGGAATTGGTCATAACAGTTAGTGGCTTTGTTTATTTGACAAGCAAGACTTGTTCATTACTGTCATTTGGTCCCTAAATGATGTAAAAATTGAGCAGGATACCTTGAACTTCACTAGTTAGTGCGATTGAGTCCTTTCCTGCCTCAGACTGAAACGAGCAGGGTTCTCCCGGAGCCACTCCCCAGGTTTCTGGCCGGGAAAGTTGTGACTCTTACTGCCCTTGGTCGTTGCTAATCAGAGCGTGGAAGGCCATCCAATCGGGCCTCTGGGCAGCGGGCAGCACCGTGTCGGCGGGCGTGGCACACGCACAGCCCCTTCCAGAATTCTCAGCACAAATTGGGTTGAGTCATTGGCTAATTAAGCTCCCAGCCGCTTGCTTTTTTCCGGAGGTTCAACCTGTAAACGCGGATGGTGACTTTCTCCTCGGCTCTGAGGCTGGGCGCCCCGGCTGCTGGTGCGTGCCCTGCAGTGCTGGTGTCTGGCATGACTCAGCTTCCTCCCGCGGCTTGATTAAGTCATCACTTGTCCAGCAAATACGTATTGATTAAACAGCAGCCGCAGCCCTACTCACCGAGGGCCTCTTGTGTGACACTCCCCACGTCTACCCGGATCTGCGGCCTGTCTCATCTGTTCCCTGTATGTGTGCGTGCGTGTGTACACACACACACACACTCTCTCTCTCTCTCTCTCTCTCTCATTTCTCTGTTTATCCATTCATTCTACCTGGATCTGCGGCCTGTCTCATCTGTTCCCTGTATGTGTGCATGCGTGTGTACACACTCTCTCTCTCTCTCTCACTCATTCATTTCTCTGTTTATCCATTCATTCTACTCGGATCTGCGGCCTGTCTCATCTGTTCCCTGTATGTGTGTGTGCACGTGTGTACACACACACACACACACACACACGTACACACACGTTCATTTCTCTGTTTATCCATTCATTCTCCCCACATCTACCCGGATCTGCAGCCTATCTCATCTGTTCCCTGCATGTGTGTGTGCATGTACACACACACACACACACACACACACACTCTTTCTTTCATTCATTCATTCATTCATTCATTCATTCATTCATTCCTCTGTTTATCCATTCATGCTCCCCACAGACCTGGCATCTGCGGCCTATCTCATCTGTTCCCTGCATATGTGTGTGTGCATACACACACACACACTCTCTCTCTCTCACTCTCTCTCTCTCACTCTCACTCTCCCCCCTCTGTTTATCCATTCATGCTCCCCACAGCTACCTGGCAGGATCTACCATATACCTTAGTAACCAAACCCAAAGCTGTCCATCATGACTGGTGGTGACCCACAGCTTTTTTGCTGTTCGCCCTTTTGAAGAGTATGGAGATGACATCAGAAAGTGAAGTGGAGTCTGGTGTGTTTACCTCCTCCATACAGGGGGCTGGCTCTAAGGTGTCACCCTTCACCACACAGAAGAGTCGGCAGGTGCCATGAGCCGTGCTCTAGTCTCCCTACCCCGCCCCTTGAGTGAGGGTTCTTTTTTGCTCATTTACTTTCTGTTCCTGAGCTAGCGATCCTAAGACTAGAGTCGGGGGTTCATTCAGACTCACACCTCACGTTCTCACCACAGTGCAAAAGGGAGAATTAGGTTAAAAAAAAAAAAAGAAAAGAAAAAAGTCGGTTTTTTTTTCAACCCACACGTGTTTTCCTTGGTTTAAAAGCTTTTGGATCTTCGTTTTGTGTATGTTACACTCCATCTGGTTTTTCTCCTGGAACCTTCTCAGGACTATTTGTGAATTGAGCAGAGAGAGGTTTGACGGGGGCAGGGCTGTTTGGGGAGGTCAGGGCTGACGAGGGAGGGTGCCATCGTCCACCCACACCCCACATTTTACTGTGAGTTAGGAGTGCCCCAGAGTGTCTGACCAAAGTCTCAGAACTGGTGACTCCTGAGCTCTAGTAATGAACGTTTTACTCTGCGTTCAGCACACCGTAGTCTTAATCACATTCAAGCTCATGCTGGTGCTGAATGATAACCCCCGTGTCGTTCAGACGGGACAGCTGGGGCCCTGCCCGAGGTCACGTGGGAGGTGGAGGACCCGGGACTGAGACCCAGGCAGTAGATGAGGGTGGGTGTCTGCTTCATGTTGAAAACACCACTGAGGAGCTTGGGGACGCAGGCCACTGGAGCTCCACGTTCAAGTGCAATGATCTCGGAGAGTTTGGGTCCTCTTTCAGGAAAGGTGCACCATAGAATCATCGTTGAAGGGCACACGTTTGTTTGGAAGGGGTTTGCTTGAGATTCCAAGTACACCGTAAACCCTAGTGCCTGCAGTGTTGACAAGATGGCCATCACAGAGGCCGGAATGGCTCGTAACCGGCGCCGTGAGGTCATGCTGGCCTTATGGAGAGCCTGGGCGCTTTTAGCGGACAGCCACTGACTTACGGGGGTGGCTCTCCTTGACCCAGGAGCGGGTCGTCTTGTCCCCAGGGCTGGGTTTTGATGTCAAGCTCCCTGTTTGCATACGTGTACACCTCTTCTGCAGTGGCTCTTGCTAGAATCCCACCCGTCCATTCATGTGACGATTCTTTCTAAATCTTAGATCCAGGATATCAGCGTGGAGACTGAAGACAACAAAGAGAAGAAATCCGCCAAGGACGCGTTGCTGTTGTGGTGCCAGATGAAGACAGCTGGGTGAGTGAGGGCGGACAGGGCATTGGGCCGGGGCCTCCAGGACGGAGGAGGTGGCCAGCCAGCACTTCCAAGGTGCTGACAGGTGTCTTTCTCGTTGGCCCTGCTGAGAAGTCTTGTTAACACGTAAGCAGTCAGTCTGTGACGTTTCAGGCAGCTTGCAGACGGGGCGGGGGGAGTTCTGATTGATGCTCTGGACCTGTCGCAGCTCCACAGTCATTTTCTCTTTACTCAAGAAGCTCCAGAGATGGGTCTGGCTTGCATTGTAAAATCCTCGTAGCGTTTAGAGAGCTCTGGTGGCTTTAGTGGTGAGGAATTGTGCTGTGAACCTAACGGTGCATGGTTCAACTCCACCGGCTGCTCTGTGGGAGAAAGATGGGCAGTCTCTTCCCGTGTGATTTAACCCCAGCGGCCTCTGAAGACCCGCCAGGGGTGGTCAGCGATGAGCCCGTTCCAACTCTACGATGTACAACAACAGCAGTTGTTGTTGTTTGGTGCCGTCGAGTCGTAGACGACTCATACCGACCCTGTGAATGAATGGCCTGAGCACTGTTCGTACATAGAGTTTCCGGAGGCAAGCCATTTTGGAAGTGGATGCCGCTCCTGCTTCCAGGCTTGATTTAGTCGGGAAGCTCCAGCCAACACTGTCCACCATGGGTACCCATTACCACGATTGGCACATCACTGTCACAGGCTTCAGCATCACAGCAACCACGAGTTACCTCTGTACAGCAACGCACAGACCAGTGCTATACCACCTAGAAGAATGTTTGACAGGAAGACAATTTGAACCTGGCCCGAGGGCCGCAGATGCATATGCTTGGTAGCATAGCTTCCTTTCCACTAGGCCAGCGTAGTTCTCTCTCTTTGCATTTAAAAATGTCATCTCACATACTTTGGGCATGTTGTCGGGCAGCGTCAGGTTGGAAAAGGATGTCGTGCTGGGAAGGGTGGAGGGTCAAAAAAGAACCTTAATAAGATGCATTGACACTGATTGTAGCAGTGGGCCTGAGTGTATCAGAGACGGTGAGGATGGTACAGAGAAGACGTGGCTCAGAGCTGTCGTTCGTAGGTTCGCTCTCAGGCCTAGTTGCCTCATGGGCACTTAACAAGTAATGTTTTTAGAATCATGCCCATAGTGTCTACATACACACACCTCGTGCTCTGTCTCTCCTCTGTGCTTTCTCTTTTCCTTTCCACACACATGTGTGTACACACACGCGCGCGCGCGCACACACACACACACACTGGGAGTTCTCTCTTCTCTTTCCTCTAGCCTTTGGAAATTTTGCTCAGAAGATTCTTTATATATTATGTGTCATCATTTTCCTTCTCACTGACATTTCAGTCAAGCTGTTTTCACAGACCTGCATGCGTTTTGACAGCCCCTGAGATTACAGGGGCTTGGCCAGTGCTCTGCAGTTACAGACCTCCTTGGCTGAGAGTCCTGCAGCTGCTCAGTGTTTATCGAGAGCTGGAGTCTTGCTGTTGACACTGCTCATTCCAGAGGTGGCCGTATAGCGCATGATCAGGGTGGGTGGACTGAGAGCAGAGAGAAGCCCCTTAGGGGCTTGGGACCTGGGAAGAGCTTATGGCCCCATGGAAGAGTACGCTGTAGACCAGCCGAGTGATTACTGTACGTTTTAAGCAGAGGCAAGATCTTTCAGGGAGAGAGCCACTTTACAAAATTTTCTTGACGTAAGTTTCCTGAGGAAAAGGAAAATTGATTGTCACGTGGGCAGGTGAACCTAGCATCTCCTGTCCTAAGTTCACATCGACATGGTATCTCAGTGGCCGTAGGGTCCTGATGTCATTGGTGGGGTAAAGTCAGACCTCAGAGTTCTGCCGTGTGGTCCTTTCTCCTAACTGAGGACAGGTGTTAGTTCTTGGGAAATATTTTCCATCTTTTATCTGATTTGACGCCCTGGCTGGAAGAGCGTTTGGATTTTTACCGCAGACTGTTGTTGAGCGGTGTTTGCACCAATTGGTTTGTCCTCATTGATAATATCTTAAGATTTTTAAAATGCTTTAAAAAAACACGTTTTCCCACTGCATTTAGCAGCCTTTGTTGTTTTTTTGTTGTTGGTGGTGTTTTTTTGTTGTTCTTTTTACCATGTTTGGTAATTGTGTTGCTTTTCTCTTGTCCTTGGCAGGTACCCCAATGTCAACATTCACAATTTCACCACCAGCTGGAGGGACGGCATGGCCTTCAATGCACTGATCCACAAACACAGGTAAATCCTTGGAAAGCACGCGGATCTCTCGGGCAAAAGCTACGTTTCCCCGCGGCACATGTGGGCGGCTTGGGTTCCCCAGGCGCTTCCTTCAGTGTCACACCGCAGTAGATCTCCACATTCTACAAGAGAGAGAGAGTTGGAAGAATGTGGTTTTCTTCCCAACACAGTGACCCGGCTCCCTCTTGCCTTCATTCTGATTAAACATTTTGGATAAGCTTTGAAATGTTCATTCAAATCCATGTTTCGTTGTTTGATAAATGACCACACTAGAGGTTTCCTCCCGTATGTGGTAACTTTAATGAGTTTTGGAGGAATAAGCACGCCTTGCTGGTCCCAAGATTTGATTTTCAAACTCCCGGTTTTGTTGTGCTCTGCTGTTCCACGCAGACCTGACCTGATCGACTTCGACAAACTGAAGAAGTCCAATGCGCACTACAACCTGCAGAACGCCTTCAACCTGGCGGAGCAGCACCTCGGCCTCACCAAGCTGCTGGATCCCGAAGGTGAGGACCTAGGTGGATGTGGGAGACGGAGCGTCACCATCTTTCACATCAGGTGGTCAGGACAGGATCTGTTTGCTGTCCACTTACTTGTATTTGTGGAGCCTGCTTCAGGAGTTATCAGACAGAGAGGAACTTAAACGTGAGTTGTAGAAAAATAATGTCAGGATTTGTGCAAAGAGCCCTGTTGGTCTGGACTCAGTGAATGAGTCAGATTTCAGTCGGATAGTTGCTCCAGCGGGGAAGACGTGCCAGGCAGAGCAATGTGCCTGAGTAAAGGTGTGGAACCAGGAACGATGAAGGCATGCTCGTTGGGTGACATTCACCCAGGAGTGGCGAGGAGGTTGGTTGAGAACGAGTGGATGGAGGCACGGAGTCTTGTTAGGATGCTGTGTGGTGTTTGTTTACATAAGGGGAAAGAGTGTCAAAGAGGGCAGTGTGTGGTGGGGGAAGGGAGGGAACATTCATCATCACTGCCCAAGGCTGCTTCCTGAACACACGGTACCTGTTCTGTGTGTGGAACTCATCCTCTCTCCCTCTCTGCTCTGGGGGTCCCTGCAGAAGGACCCCAAAGACTGGCTGCAAAGGCATCTAGCTGGTCCCCCCGTGGAGCCGTCCCCCATCACAGCTCCCTGGATTCATCAAGTCCTTGTTCTTCCTGTCAGCCTGAGCTGTCACACCACAGGAACTTCTTCTAGTCTTGAGAAACATCTAAAATATAAAAGGATTCCCCCCCACCCCATAGTACCAGAACTTTCTAGATTCCCAGAGCTGTGAGCACATAGTAGAGAGAGAAAGAAACATGTGAATGGAAGTCTGAAGATTTTGAATGTAAATATAGAACAGGAAGTTTAATTCCCCAAGGGCAGGTAGAGGTCACGAGGCTGCCAAGCAGACTTCTTGCTGTTTTCCAGTGCCTCAGATGCACTGATAAATGTCCCCTACAGGAAGCAGGGATATAATTGGCTCTGTGCACCCCACTTCAGTGATTCTTCAGTATAAATAGAAAGCTGAAATTCCTTGGGTTGTGATAAGGCTCCACCCATAATCCCAGTCTTTCCATGGGAGGGAGTTTTCCTGTTCTCCTAAAAAACTCTTTGTGTTTTTCATAAAGAACCGTTTGCTCTTTTCCCCAGTCATGCCATTGTGATGTGCTTCAAAAATACTTCCTCAGTAGTTAATTTTCCTAATCCTCACCCAGTCTGAAGTGGAATTGCTGTTCCATGAATCTGTCATAAGACAAAGACTTTAAAAAAGCTGATGTCACCTACCCTGGGGCTTTGATCTGCCTCCTTAGTTGCCCTTTGCACTAAAACTCCAAGAGCACCAGTTAAAATGGGCTTGAAGACAAGTTAAAAAGAACAGAGTTTTGCCTGTTTATTCCCTCTCTGGCAGCTTGGCATTTTGTGTTTATTAAACTGCACACAAGACCGGAATGTCCCCCTGGCCTTCCTCCAGTTCTCTGTCCTTGGAGGACACGTTGGAGGGTTGAGCAGACAGCAGAGGTGACCCCCACAAGCCTGGGGCAGGAACAGTAGCTGTGGGTCTGGTCCACAGCTGTTGGCTGCCTGCTGAGCCCAGACAAGGGTGTCTCAGCCCTCCGCCCTGGTGTGCTGGCTTTTAAAGAAAGCGAAGTCGTGCTGCCCCACACCTAGCTGTCAGGAAGATGGAACTGAAGGCATGGATGTGAATGTATACTGAGAAAAAACCTGAGACATGTATCTATATCTGTAGTGTGTCCTGGAGGGGATGAAACCAGGCTGCTCCTTGGAGGCAAGCATTTTGAAACTCCATCTCACCTGCTTTGGGCATGTTACCAGGGGGACCAGTCGTTGGAGAAGGCCATCATGCTTGGAGAGATGGAGGGACAGCGCAAGAGAGGAAAACCCTGGATGAGATGGATAAATTCAGTGACTGGCGGTGGAGGCAGAGACTGTGAGGTTGGCTTAGGTTAAGGCAGAGTTCAGACCTATTGCTCGTAGGTTCACAACTAGTAGTCACTTCACCCGCACATAACAATAACAACATATGTAGTTACACAGTAAGAGAGCTCCTCTCGGTCCCTCCTCAACCTATGCTGAGTTGAGTATCTCACTCAATATTGCCTTACCGAGACACTTTACTATTTTAATTACTCTTTCCTAAAACTCAGTATTTATAGAAAGTTTTCAGTATTTATAAAAAGAATTTACTTTACCATTTATTATTATTAACCATTTATTATTATTTACCATTGAGGATAGAAGGAGAATTGATGCTTTTGAGCTGTGGTGCTGGAGAAGAGTGTTCAGTGTACCATGAGCAGCTAAGAAAACAAACAGATTCATCCTGGAGAGGGTTAGACCGGGCTGCTCCTTGGAGGCAAGGATTCTGAGGCTTTGTCTGACATATTTTGGACAGACCAGTCCTTAGAGAAGGACATCATGCTTGGGAGGGTAGAGGGACAGCGCAGAAGAGGAAGGCCCTCTATGAGGTGGATTGATTTGATGACTGGGGCAATCGAGATGACTGTGTCTGAGACAATGAGATTGGCACAGGACAGAGCAGAGTTTAGAGCTGTTGTACAAAGGGTCGCTATGTGTTGCAAGTGATTCGACGGCACATAACAACAACAAATCAGTATTTGTAGAACTCAGTATTTCTAAAAATCAGTATTTATAGAAAGTCCATCGTCTGGAATAAGCCAGGAACCTCTGTTTTTTTTTTTTTTAAAGCCTATTATTTCTCATTATAAATTTCATCTTTGCCTTAAGGGGTAGCAAACATTACATATGATGTTACAGACCTGTTTTAATACAAACTTTAAATATTATACCTCCTAAAAGCCACTGCGGCAGTGAAGAAGAGTTGGCCAGGCTTGGCCTTTTCTCAGATGCAGCTATGACCCCACTTGGGGGTCAGCGAGGGTGTTTCTGTCAGAAGGTCAGCGGGAGCCTGCTTGGTGCTCTTCTTCCTCTCTCTGTCTAACATTTCATAGTGACATCCCACCTGTTACCATACCAGCTTTATTAGCAAAGCAAATAGCATTTCAGTCCACGTTAGCAAGCGTTTTAGGAAAAGGAATCCACGGCCCTGTTCTGAACGTCTTGAGATCAGCAAACGATGCCACGTGCAAGTTTGTCCACAGTCCTCTTGTGGGTGCACCGTGTCCTGGCCCAGAGGCTTTGGAGGACAAGGGCTGCTTGTGTTAAGCATCCACGTTTTGAAAGCCAGCACCCCCAGGGGCTTGGGATGCTGGGTGGCACTGAGACTCATGAGACAGGGTTCCTACCCTGAGACTTGGTCTTCCGAGGCCCATAATCATGCTGATGTTGATACTTCCCGTGGTCTTGCTCTCTCGCGGGAGTAGCGTGGTGTGTTTTCTCCTTTCCCGCGTGCCTGGGCTCCTAGATAAAGGAGTCTGTCTCTTAAGACTTCTGTGATTAGCGTGTGATCAAAGACTCTGAGGTCGTTTCCCGATCACTGTCCTCCTCATAACTGCACTGATGGCGGAAGGCGCACAGATGCAAGCGGTGAGGCCTCTGGCCTGGCCTGGGTGCCCTGGGCCGGCCTCAACGTGAACCGTTTGCTGAAGGTGTCTTCGCTCTGTTACAGACATCAGCGTGGATCATCCCGATGAGAAGTCTATCATCACTTACGTGGTCACGTACTATCACTACTTTTCCAAGATGAAGGCCTTGGCCGTTGAAGGGAAGCGAATAGGAAAGGTGAGCCCACGCTGGTCGTGTCAGTCACGAGACGTAATTGAGGTTCATGTCTTAGTGTCCAGTCACTGAGCGCTTTGCTCTCGAACATACACTCCAGTCTTACCACCTTCAACCCTCCAAACATCAGGGCACGAGGGCGTGGGGGAGGTGGCATCCGTGGGACCTCAGAAGCCTCGGCCAGAGGGTCCCAAGATGTGGGAGTAGTGGCCAGAATGCTTCATATCTCACGTCTGTCCTCAAGCTTGGCAGAAACGTGGGTGTTAAGTCAGTGAATTGGCAGGGGTCACTGGCATGGAATCTCTCCAGCTGTGGGTAAAAGGCCTTCGTGTGTGTGGTTACCCAGTGTTCACCAGCTATATTTTAAAAACCCGTTTACATCACAATGGGGGAATCCCTAAACATTCTTGGGATAAGCTTGCCCCAAAGGGAGGCCTTTTTGTTGCTAGAGGTGTTTTGGAGGTTGGGCACTAGGAGTTTTCCAGAATTTTAAACTCATTCTCTGAGGGTTGGGAGGTTTCAGGGCCAATGACACTTGACTGAAACTGTCCTTGTTCACAAACAAGAACCGAGTGCCTTGTTAGCAACTCCAGTCCTTGAGTTAAAAAGCTTGTGCCGACTCGGCCAGGACCATCTGTCTCAGCATCAGTCATGAAGTGAGGCCCGTGCTCTGAGAGAGCTGGAATCTTGTTTTCCTTAAAATAACATTAACCATCTTGCTTTCCACCCCGTTTTCCTAACCTCTGTTGACAGGTGCTTGACAATGCAATCGAAACCGAGAAGATGATTGAGAAGTACGAGTCCCTCGCCTCCGACCTGCTCGAGTGGATCGAACAAACCATCATTATCTTGAACAATCGCAAATTTGCCAATTCCCTGGTCGGGGTTCAGCAGCAGCTCCAGGCGTTCAACACCTACCGCACTGTGGAAAAACCACCCAAGTAAGCTTTGGGTCGGGACGGGACAGGGGCCAGTCCACCGCTGCCAGTCTGTCTCCTGAACCCGCTGCACAGAGCTCATCTCTGGAACTGACCCCACGTGGGCACCTCTCGTCCTTTCTCATTGGCCCACTGTCTCCTGAATATATTGTGCACTGTGCTCTATCTGAGCCTTTTCTAGTTTAAATGTTCTCTGACATTCAGGATAAGAGAGAATTCTAGCACGTGACACTGTCCCCAGATCCTTATCCGAGACCCGTGTCCCTGGTGGGTTTTAGAATTCTGATTGTCCTGGGTCTTAGAAAGGGGGTTGTCAGCTGCCATGGAGTCAACCTGACCTCACAGAACAGCTGGTGCCCTGTACGGATTTCAAGGCTGTGGTCTTAGAAGCCGACCACCAAGTCTTCCGCTGGCTGCCTTCCACCCGCCAGCCTTCCACCCAGCAGCTGAGGTCAAGCTGTTGGGCAGCCCCCTATACTCCTGTTTAGGAGGTCATAGGGCACACATGCTTTAGATTATAACATCCCTATGGCTCTGGTGGTCTCATAGGCATTGGCCACCTAGTCCACCTCGTCCAGAGGGTGCTGAGCTGGTAAATACTCCAAAGGCCCCGCCTCTCTGGTTGTCGGAACCCACCAGCTGCTCCACAGAAGAAAATAAGATAGTCTCCTCTCATGTGATTTACAGCTACAGAAATCCAGCAGAGGGTTCAGCTGTGGGCTGTTCCGGCTCAGCTGCAGTGAGAGAAAGAGATACTGTGTGTCTGAGACAGTAACCCGTCTTCAAGCCCATGAACACTGCCGTAGCCAGATGTGTAAAAGTAGTCACATTTAATATAAGAGATACTGTGGGTCTGAGACAGTAACCCGTCTTCAAGCCCATGAACACTGCCGTAGCCAGATGTGTAAAAGTAGTCACATTTAATATAAGAGATACTGTGGGTCTGAGACAGTAACCCGTCGTCAAGCCCATGAACACTGCTGTAGCCAAAGGTGTAAAAATTGTCACATTTAATATGAGACATGTGGGTCTGAGACAGTAACCCATCGTCAAGCCCATGAACACTGCTGTAGCCAGATGTGTAAAAATAGTCACATTTTGTGGAAGAAAAACAGTAGATAAAGACCAGATCATTCAGATGGGGCTTTGTGGCCAAGGAGCTGAGTCACTAAAAAATGTGATTTTTATTTTTTTATTTTTCAATGAAAAGATAATCCAAAAGGAGGGTGTGACCTGTTATTCACTGCTGTCCCAAAGCCATCCCCTCTCTGAACACTGTTCAGCTGTAGATTCCTTGGTGAGGTCTCCGAAGCCCATTAAAGAAGCCCGTTGGGTGATCTTGTGTAATAACACCGGTTGGGCGCATTCGGCCTCGCCCTGGGTGAAGTGAGTTCGTTGCCCAGGGCTTGGGGCTTACGCTGTGATGGGGGTTACTAATGAGAGCATTGTGAGCCCTTCACACTGTCTGATAGAAACCTCAGCAGCAACAAGCACTTAACCGCACAAGAAGTTCCAGTTTGAGGTTCCTGATGCCCAGTCACTAAGCCATTGTAGTCTCTAACATGCATCTCACAGAAATCAGACCAGAGATAAATGGCTTTTGAAACTGCATGACTGTGCAGAATAGTTTTGGGGTGAATTTTTTTCTTTCTTTTTCTTCCTCGTCTTTAGAAGAAGAAAACAAATGAATTTTCCCCCTTGATGGAACCAAAACCCCAGGAACTAATGTTGATGTTGGTTTTCCTCTGTGTTTAGATTTACCGAGAAGGGGAACTTGGAAGTGTTGCTCTTCACCATTCAGAGCAAGATGAGGGCCAACAACCAGAAGGTCTATATGCCCCGGGAGGGGAAGCTCATCTCCGACATAAACAAGGTACAGCCCGAAAGGCTGAGAGCGCTCTTAAGCTCCGTCCTTGGGCCTGGCTGGCAATGAGAGCAGGGGGGTTGGATAGGTTAAACCGCCAACAGCTTTCGCTCGGGCCTTGGAGAACGACCAGTGAACACTTGGGGTTGATATCTGGGATTGACTGATTATGCTCCGGGAGGTTGGGGGTCATCCATACCTCGGGCTGTTTACTTTACTGTTGCTGGCATCTACCCCTCATCCATCCGGAGCAGTGCACTCAAACATCATCATTTTGTAGACAACGCAGTGCCTCCTTTTCACGTGTAGAGTCTCTGAAGGTTATGGGTTTGGGGTTTGGGCTCCTCCTGTCAGTGAAGCTGTGGACACTACAGTTCCCATCGTAGACTCTGCTGTCTGCAGTCACAGAATGGCATGGGCAGGCACCGTTTCCAGCTTGAAACTTGCAGCCTGGAATATGGGGGTCGTTGATATACACTTAGGTGCTTTTGTGTGTAATGTTAGCACTGTGTCTCACTTTTTTTTTTTTTGCTTTTTTATTGAGATGTAAGACTAAGACTATATTTGTAGGAGTAAGTTTTAGGTTTGGAAGCAGGAGTGGTAGCATCCACTTCCAAAATATCTTGCCGCCAGAAACTAGGAACTTGGAGAAATGATGAAAGTTATGCGTGTTCAGGTCTTTTGTTCATAGGGTCGCTATGAGTCATGTATGACTCGACAGCACTTAACAATAACAACATAGAGAACTCTGTTGGCCTACTGAATAGAAAGTTATGCCACCAAGCCAAAGGTTGGTTATTTTAATCTGCGGCCCTCAGGCCTGGTTTTAAATTTTTTTGGTCAAACATTCTTCTCCGTGGTATAGCACTGGTCTGTCTATTTGCTGTACAGAGGTAACTCGTGGTTGCTGTGATGCTAAACACTGCGACACTGATGTGCCAAACGTGATAATGGTTACCCATGGTGGACAGTGTTTGTTGGAGCTTCCTGATTAAAACAAGCTTGGAAGCAGGAGTGGTATCCATTTCCAAAATGGCTTGCCTCCGGAAACTCTATGAGCCTGGAGAAATGAAAGTTATACATGTGTTCAGGTCTTTTGTTCATAGGGTTGCTATGAGTTGTCTATGACTCGATAGCACTTAACAAGTTTTATGTGGACAAAATTAATGCCAGAATATGTGAATATAAAATGAGCAACATTGGGTGGGAGGAATGAGATCTTCATAGTCTGACTTCTTTCCAAGAAAAAATCATTTATCTTTTTTATATGACCAACACTATCTAAGATTAATGGCTTCATTTCCTCTCTTTATTTAGCAAGAAATTTATCTCTCTCTCTCTTTTTTCTTTTTCTTTTTTTTTTTTTTTTTTTTGGGTAATAGTACTCCAAAGACAAAATTGTTTGTTTTCCAAAACCTTTAGACTTAGATAAGAGAGACTGTTCCCTTGAAATGAAACTCGGATAATTTCTCCCCTCTCAAGAGTTAAGAGTCTGTGAGGGTGGGAAGGGATCTTTCTTTGAAGTCGTTGGATCTTTTTTTGAAAACTCCCAGCTCCTGAATGTGGCTGAAGCGGGTTCCCCGAACAGGGCGGGTAACATGGTTCCTTTTCTCCCCTGCAGGCCTGGGAGCGACTGGAAAAGGCGGAACACGAGCGAGAACTGGCCCTGCGGAACGAGCTCATCAGACAGGAGAAACTGGAACAGCTCGCCCGCAGATTTGACCGCAAGGCAGCTATGAGGGAGACCTGGCTGAGTGAGAACCAGCGCCTGGTGTCCCAGGTACTGCTCTCGGCTTCACTGGAGAGACTTTCAGGGCCTTCTAGAAACACAGACACGGGCCGCAGGAGCCACTGCTCGGTCCAGACGGTCCAGGAACGCGGACTTCTCATCGTCCGCCCCCAGTCAGTGTCTTCAGGTCCCTGGGAGATGGCCTGCCAGCCTCCTTGTCCACCTCAGAGGCTGTTCCTAAGCTCTAGTGCCCGTTGTCTTCTGTTTAACTTTTTAGGGCTTTGGAGGCAGCTCAGGCATAGCTGGCTGATGGTCCTGTGAGTGGGTGTGACCCAGTCACACTCAGAAATGCCTGTTAAATAGAATTAGACTCTCCCTCGGTCTCCGCTCTCCTGCCACAGGGAGGCATCTGGCTGGTGGGAGAGTGAGAGAGGCTCTCGTGCCCGCTAGGTGTGACGTACAACCTCACCAGGTGCAGTCTCTTCACTCACGTGCTCTAACGAGGGGCTCACCCCTCTCTGCAAACTGGAGGGGTTTCTGTATGGCTTTAGGAAGGTCCTCTGAGCTCAGGTGTTGGTATTTCAAGGGTCACACATGAAAAACTGGAGGGTCAGCAGAGGACAGGAAGACCCCCAATGAGATGGAGTGACACGGCGACCTCAGCAGTGAGGTCTGGCATGTCAGAGACGGTGAGGATGGCACAGGATAGGCCAGGATTCCGCCGTTGACAGAGTCGCTTTGAGTTGTCCCCGACAGCCCCTAACTTCAGGGAAGTCCATCCCAGTGGTGTATAACGTGTCAGGTTTACTAACCGACTGGTCAGCAGTCCCAAGTCCAGCCGCGGCTCCACGAGAGGAGGATAGGCGCTGTCCTCTCATAGAGGTTGACGGTTTGGAGATCGGACGGAGGGCCGGGGGAGGCAGAAGACCCCGCACTTAAGCGTCAGGCTGCTGATGCACAGACTGGCTGTGGGAACCCACTCCGCTGGGTGCTCCTTGGATGGAGATTCTCCATCCTTGACTCTTCCAGCCTCAGCAGACGGTCTTTCTACTGTTGCACGTGGCTTACGTTTTCCTCCCCTCCCTCTGTCGTTTTCTCCTTTCCTCCCACTTACCTGCAGGACAACTTTGGGTTCGACCTTCCCGCCGTCGAGGCCGCCACCAAGAAGCACGAGGCCATCGAGACAGACATCGCGGCGTACGAGGAGCGCGTGCAGGCAGTGGTGGCCGTGGCCAGGGAGCTGGAGGCGGAGAACTACCATGACATCAAGCGCGTGACGGCGAGGAAGGACAACGTGCTGCGGCTCTGGGAGTACCTGCTGGAGCTGCTGCGGGCACGGCGGCAGCGCCTGGAGATGAACCTGGGCCTGCAGAAGATATTCCAGGAGATGCTCTACATTATGGACTGGATGGACGAGATGAAGGTAAAATGCCAGCCCTGGAGAGGGGCCCACGCTGGGCCCCATCCGCTGGCCCCACCACATCCTGCTGTCTAACTCCCCGCCCCCAAGGCCAGACGAGCGCCCCTAACTCCCTACCCCTCAAGGCCAGACGGGCGCCCCTAACTCCCCGTCCCTCAAGGCCAGACAGGCGCCCCTAACTCCCTGCCCCTCAAG